CTGAAACATAATTTGCTACATCAAGCCATTTTTTCTCCTCACTCACTGGTATTCCGTGGCTTGGCCTTTGCTTTATAAAACATTTAAGAGTTTGCTTTAAACACATCAACGTGCTGATCTACGATTGCCCTTTGCGTGCCGCCCGGAGGAGCGGCCGCCTCTCTCCAGCCCCGCCCAGCGTGGCTGGAGGTGGGCAGCGTGGCGGCAGCGTGGCAGGCTCTAAGGTCTGCGTTCTCTGTCTTGTGCGGGCAGCCACTCCGTGCATCAAGGCCATCAGTCCCAGTGAAGGCTGGACCACGGGGGGAGCGACGGTGATCATCATCGGAGACAACTTCTTTGATGGGCTCCAAGTTGTGTTCGGGACTATGTTGGTATGGAGCGAGGTAAGCCCGCGAGATCGGTGCGCGTCCGGCCGTGGCTTTGTCCGTGGGCCGTCGGACATGCTGTCGATGGTGCATCCTGTCACCAGATGCCCTGAAACCGACAGTCCGCCCGTGGCAGGGGCTTCTCCGGTGGGTGGGTGCAGACCGCTGCCCCACAGCCCTGGGGTTTCAAGCCTGGCGTCGGAGGTCCCTGAGTGCCCTGGAACAATTAGTGCTAGAATTACTAGAAGCAGGTTTAAGGAGACATATGGTGGTGATTTTCATATGAATGATGCCCTGTGGCCTTTCCTGCAAACTGAAACCGGGATCATTTGCAGATATTTTTCTGAAAGCACAACTGTAGGTCCCGAGTCTCTGGGTGACAGCTAGGAGGGAACATTCCAAGACGATGGTCCAATTTTTGCTCATTTTGGTAATTATATCCAACTGGCAAGTGTCCGCCTCTTATACCCAGCGCCGCTGAAAGCCTCTTCCCTGTGTGGTTTTTATAGCTGATCACTCCCCACGCCATCCGAGTCCAGACCCCACCGAGGCACATTCCTGGAGTCGTGGAAGTCACCCTGTCCTACAAATCCAAGCAGTTCTGTAAAGGTGCTCCTGGGCGGTTTGTCTACACCGGTGAGTTCACATTTCCAACTTTCGTGGTGAATTGGTAGATGCTTCCTCCCAAGGAGGGCCTCTCGGCCCCCGGGGGCCCCCTGCATGGGTTCTGCAGTGAGGATGGGCGATCCCCCCGTGGCCCACCGGTTGGTGTAGTCAGGGGCAGTGTTCACATCCTCTTCCACATGGTGTGACGCCATGGACAGGTGCAGCCAGCTCGGGCCAGGTGACCTGGGCCCCTCGCCCCATCCGTGGAGCTTCCCTTCTCGCCTGCAAAGCAAGGTGGTGGGAGCTGTCAGTAACCCCAGTCCCCCTGCTTCCATCGGGTGGCTGCCCCGCGAGGTCCCAGAGGTTAGGCTGCGTACCCTAGGTCACACGCACCCTGTAGATGGGAGCAGGTCTCTGCCCCGGGCCTGGGGCCTCAAACCCCACACTGCGCTGCTGCTTCAAGGGGGTCCGTATTCCGGGAGGGTCTCGGACACACTGACGTCACCAGAAGGGGTCACCTCTGAGGTCCCACGTTTGTTATCTGAAAGCCGTCTGCTGCAGTGCTTTGCCCACGGGCTGCTTGGAGAACACCATGCGTCTGGGGTTGCTACTGAGAAAGGCCGTAAATGACCACATACGGCTTGTCTGCATTGGGACCCCTAGTCCTGCCTGCCACCTGCAGAAGCTGTAACCTCTGAGATGTGTTTCTGAGGGTGGCCAGCACCTGCTGAGCCCCACGAGGGCGGAGGGGACGGGGGCTTGTTCTTGGACAGCATGGCCTCCAAGTGCTCGCGTGGTCAGGGCAGCGGGGGAGGTCCTTGCGGGAGCCTGGCTGGGAGCCGGGGGCTCTGTCCACGTGTTGTCACCTGCTGCAGGATGCCCGGGGCAGGTCTGGCCTCCCCCTGGGATGCAGGCCTCTCCTCTGTCCAGTGGGTGGGTGACAGGGTAGAGACGAGGTCCCTTCCACTTTGGGGTTGGGGGAGGGAGTAGGGGTAACTCACCCCCGTCAGGAAGCGTGAGATGCAAAATGTAAATTCTTCCAGTGACCACTTTCCAGCAGGCCCCGTGTCACTCCCAGGCCGTGCCTGGCTCGGGTCCTTGCAGAGAGCCAGGGCTGCTGTCCCCAGAGGCACCCATACCCTCAGCAGCCAGGGCTGCCAGTGACACCGGGGTCCTTGATAGGGGTAGGCCGCCTCCTCTCCAGCCCCCAGCGGCCCTCACGTGGTCAGGAGGGGAGAGAGGTTCCCTGCCACGTTTCCTCCCGTGGGACCAGCTCGCCTCCTGGTGAGCCCGGGAGGCGAGATGGAGGGAGGGCGGCGCCTCCAGCTCGTGAGGCCTCCACGTGTTAAATACCGCCGCGCAGAAGCGGGTTATGAAGTCGGAGCGCTTGTGAGCGCTCGTACCCGTGGCTGCCGCGGCCGCCAGGTCCCGGGAGGTTGGGGGCCAGGCTCCCCGCAGTGCTGGGCCGTCTCTGCAGGGCCCCTGCCGGCCTGTGGGCGCCCGTCTGGCTCTGGCTGTGAACTCAGGCCGTGGGGTCCTGGGAGCCCCGCTCGGCTCCACCCGGTGTGGCCCAGGGACCTGGGGGGACCCCCGAGTCCCGCTTTCTCCTCGGTGCCGTGTGTGACCCGGGCTCCCGTCGGGTCTGGGTTCCTCGGAGGAGGGGACGTTTATGAGCTGGGCGTCTGGGAGCCACACCACGTGTGGGCTCCACGCTGCCACGTGACCCGTGGGCGCCAGGTTGGGTCAGGCACCCTGTGAGCGCGTCCGTACGTGGTGGGACCGGTGGCTCTGCCCCAAGTGGACGGGGAGTCGGCTGTCCCTGGCAGCCTCTCTGGTCTCCTGGCCGCTCCCCCGCGGGCGCCTCCGGCCCCGCCCCTGACATCCGGTTCTTGACCCGCGGGGCTTTTGGTGCTGAGGTTGGCGGGCCGTCGTCAGCAGCAGCGACTCCTTCTGAGAGGAGACACAGTAGCAGGAAGGTCTGGTTCTTCACCCCACCGTTGGCCACTGAGGACGGTGGCCCGGGTGGCAGGAAAGGGCCCCATGCTGAGCATCGCGGCGGACGCGGGTGCGGCTGGAGGGGGAGCACGAGGGCAGGGGGCCGCCCGTCGCCGCCAGTGGGTGTCCCGTGGCCGAGGGCCTGCCTCTCTGGGGCCGCGGTGGGGCAGTGCTCTCGGTAGCCCGCTGCCCTCGGCTGGGCAGGACGGTTTCCTTGGCCGGAGGCCTCGTGAGCGCAGGGCAGCGGGCGTCCCCGAGTCTGTTCCAGTGACACCCGCGTCCCGACCCCAACTTCCATTTCTGCAGCCGACGCCGTGACCCCTCCCTGCTGATGGGGCTTCTCGGACCCCAAGTTCAGGGTCCTGGCTGCCCAAGGCTATGGGGTTTCCTCCATCAGGAGTTCTCCCACGAACGGGCCTTTCAATGAAGCCATTCAGTGAGCTTGGCCTCTCCGCGGGGGCTAATTTACAGCCTTCCCCCACACCCCCATCATTAACGGGAATATACATTTCAAACGCACGTAAGGGATATGGGGGCCTACACTCCCAGAGAGCAGAGGAAAGGTGGGGTCATAACCTGTCTGACCTGGAAGCTTCTGTCTGATTTGCATTGCCCTGAAATTGATGGGACAGAGAAGCAATCATTGGGAATTGCTCTCCCTCTGAAAGCTGAGCCAGCCCTTCTGGAGGCAGGACACGGGCGCAGCCCCTGCGGGGAGGGCCCCGTCCCCTGGGCATCTGGCTCCCATCAGCTTCCCCGGGCCTGGAGGCTGCACGGACACCGTCGTCATGCTGAACCCTCGGGGTGAGGCCGCCAGGCCTGAGGATGAGGAACCAGAGTGCTGAGGAGGGCCCCTCCCCCTGCCCCCAGCCAAAGGCAAAGGCCTAAGTGATCTGTTTACAGCGATCTGAGAAGCATCCGATTCTTCAGAACCAGACCCGATTAGTCAGCCCAGAGTGGGTGTAGGCAGGGCGGGCAGGCCAAGCCCATCCGTCCAGGCCCCTTTGCCTGCTGCTTTCAACTACTATAAAGACACAATTACCTTGGGAAGCAGTGGCAGTGCAGTTGATTAGCACGGTGAATTAAAAGAATGAGTCACAATGACATGTCCAGCTCTTCCGTACTAGTCCTTTGTATTCCCAGCGTGCCTCACCCCTGTTGTAAGAAGGTCAAAAATTAGAGAGAGAGAACAATTTTCAAGCGGCTAGCACTTAGGAGCAGAATTAACAATCACTCTGTATGTAATTGCCAGTTAATAGTAAATTGCCTTCTAGACTGTAAAATGCAATATAAACGGGTGGGCACCTAAAATTAAATTAATGAGATATTTGCTGCATTTAAAAGTGAACAGTGCAAATTAATAACTGAGTGTAATGCTTGTTTTAATATTTGTCTAATAGTGTATCATTTGCTTGGTTAATAATAATTAGAATAGTCCCGGAATATCCTACCTGAGGAACTCAGTGGTATGGGCAGATCGAACAGTTTCACATTTGTAATTTCACCAGTAGAAAGACATCAAATTGTTAAGAGCAATAAAAGAAATTATTTTTTAATTATAATGTAAGCATTGCGCTGTTACTTGATTAAGACAAATTGGAATTTGTATGCTTCTAATTGAAATTATGTTTGAGCGAAAACTGCTTTTACAGACATATTCCAAGTGTGAGGTGTTCATGCACAGATGCGAGTGTCCCTGATTTCCTAACACGTCCATTTGGCAGAAAGGTTTTCCTATTACACAAAAAAGCTGGAGCTGCTTGGTGGTGGCCTGAGTCCCAGCGTGGCTCTGCGGGACACCAGGACGCAGCCAAGGGGCTCTTCCTGTTGACCTCTTGCACCCAAATGTGTGGTTGACCCACCCTCAGTTTAGAGATTTCTTTTGCTCAATTAAAGGAATTATATCACCAATTACCAGGAATCAACATGCTGTCTGCCACGGGCCCAGCCAACCCAGTTACTAAACAAGATGCTGGCAGCGATGGTGCCCAGGGCCAGAGCGGCACGGACAGAGCTGGGGCCGGTCTTAGGTCTGCAAGGCATTGACTACGTGGGGACATAAAAATGGTCATTTTCTGCACGAAGACGTGCATTCAATTTCAGTCATGAAATCATTACTCAACCAGTAGCTGCTAACAGTTTGTGTTCTTCCCGGTACAGTGTTTATGGTTTGTTTGTTTTTTTAAATCCCGTTGTGCCTTAAAACTGGCGACATGTCAAGGAGGTGACCGCCCTGTCCTCGGGAGCTGTCCCGGCACCAGGTGGGGGTGTCTGTTGGCTCGCTTGGGGCCACCATATCCTCTCGCAGCCTTCTGCCACCTAACCCACACTTCACCTCACCCCTTGAAGGGCGCTGGCGTTCCTGAAGTGTTTTAAAGCTCTTTTGTGAGTGTTCAGATGTGATTCTGTCAACAGCATGGTGACACACAGTAGAGTCAGTGGCGCCCTCGACCACAGCCGGCTCCAGCTAGCTCTCTCCCAGACCAGCGCTCTTCAAACAAATTACTTGTATCCACGGAGCAAATGATTCCTAATTGCCTTCCACAAATCATACTGTTTCTACTTGGCTAAACTAAATGCTGATGCCTTCCCCTTCAGTGTAAACCAGCCGATTATTTCGATTATAAGTTCTTAACCACGGAGTTGGACGTGGCGGAGATACTTTCATTCTGAGTTCGAGTTTGGGGTTCAGGAGTCTGTGACTCCTGGGCTCCCTGTCCCGGCCAGTGAGGCCCGGCGGCTCCGGCTGCTACCTGTGTGTTCCCTGCTGCTGCGGGCGCCCCGCAGGCACAGGGCTTCCACTGGTCCCAGCTCGCCAGTTGGATGCTGTCAGTGGAAATCCGCGGTCCCCTGGAGGATAGACAGCCTCGCTTTCACGTGAGGTTAGTTACGTGGACGAACATGCGGAGCTCAGGCCACCTCTGGGCCCGTCCGGAACCGAACCGGAGAGCTGGGATAGCACTCAGATAACGCGCGACTGCAACGCGGTTTCTCCTCCCGCCCCACCCACGTTGGCTCGTCCTTGGTTACGTGGT